TTGCAATTTTTATTTCTGAAACTAGGAGACTGAAAAAGGAAGTGAAGAGTAATTTGGAACAAAGTGCAAGAAAGATCTATAAATAAAAACAGAATAGATGGATAACTGTGAGATAAACTACTGCTTCCAGGCCAGAGTCCAATGGGCAAGAGTCAAATTTTCTCAGGTCAATAGGAAAGGTTAGAACTGCTCCATAAGCATAAAGTTGTCTCAAGGACACCGTATCCGGACACAGGAACAGTTAGGGTTCATTTTGTCTCTTGTCAGCTGTGCCCTTATATGACATATCCAGCTTTCTCCCTTCTATGACATTCTGCATTGCACAACTTTTAATCCACTAGCTGTTAAATAATGATATCTAAAGCATTTTAAGGCTATGGTTAGTGGTTCTGGTTCCTCTGAGGCAATATTTGTTCTCCTTTCAGAAGAATGCACACCATGAAATTGTTATACTGCCTTTTTATCCAGAATCTTAATTTAGACAGCTAGATGAAATTATTCTCACCTACTTTTAGAACTAATGGACATAATAGCCCTTCACAAGTAAGAATATTCATGTAGGACTTGCACTTGTTCTGTGGTCCACCAGAACCGGTTAATGATGGAACAAAGGTTCTGGAGACTGGAGGAAATAATATTCAGTTATGGGAGGAATAGGGGCTCATACAGTGAAAAATATAGACTGACACTGAAAAAAGGATGGTACAAAACATAAAATTGCCTGTGAGGTACCCAAAAAAAAAAAAAAAAAAAAAAAAAAAGGGGGATTGAAGGGAAAGGCCAAAGTAGAAATGAAAGAGTTTGAACTGGACTAGAAGTGCTGCTGATATCTGGGAGAGCTGGGTGAGGCTGGGCCAGTCAGCAATAGCTTGGCAAAGTTGAGATCTGGCAAATACAGACACAGCTGGGAAAAGTCCAGGGGGCTCAGTGTTTCTGCAGGGGGTGAGACTCCTGCTTATGGCTCAGCAACAGGGAGCGAGCATGCTCTGTGTAGGAGACAACCAGAAGAAGAAATGAGTTGAAGGGAAGTGCTGCCCCAGAAAAAAAGGGAGATTGAAGGGAAAGGCCAAAGTAGAAATGAAAGAGTTTGAACTGGACTAGAAGTGCTGCTGATATCTGGGAGAGCTGGGTGAGGCTGGGCCAGTCAGCAATAGCTTGGCAAAGTTGAGATCTGGCAAATACAGACACAGCTGGGAAAAGTCCAGGGGGCTCAGTGTTTCTGCAGGGGGTGAGACTCCTGCTTATGGCTCAGCAACAGGGAGCGAGCATGCTCTGTGTAGGAGACAACCAGAAGAAGAAATGAGTTGAAGGGAAGTGCTGCCCCAGAAACCCAGCTGCCCTGTTCAGACTGGGGAAGAGGACGTGTGTGGTTGGGGAGGATGGTGTAAGATATCTGTATGATTGTTTCTGATTTTCCTGGGATTAATGTATTCTTTGGGAAGGCTGCAGCTGGAAAGGAGGGAAGAAGGCAGACTGCCTCTCCACCTTGCTCTGGCTCTTAAAGTCTTGCACAGGGCAAAGCTGTCTAGAGAGATGAGGTGGTGGTTTCTTCCTTAAGAGTGGTGATTGTGCGCAAGGGTGAGGGGGTTGGGAGATGCTTTGGACCATTGTGCAGAGGATAGGAAGGAAACTATGGTTTTCCTGAGAGGAACAGAAAGTGGACTTTTAGGGAGGCCTCTGGGTTAATGAAGAGGAAGGAGTTTGTCCTAGACAGCTACAGAGGAACTGTATGGGCTGTTTTGCAACCCAAGAAGCCATTGAGAATAAGGTTACAAAAAAGCACTTTCTCTGC